TACTACTACTACTACAGTTTGAAGGATTTTGCCAAACTTGTACACTGAGCTGAATGACTACTTAGATGAATCTTCCAAGTGGAATCAATTCACGGATATCAACTGCTATAATGAGCATAACTAGAAAGCAATTTGACTCAAATACGATGCCAAATTGTTCACAGTCAATGTCACACTTTTCTCAATCATAACAGCCATATCGGGTACGTTCTTCCGTTTTGCAAAGCGCGTCTTTGTTTGCATTTTTACACATGTGACGGCCCCCGGCCAAGGAAGTGTGCGCACTGTACATGAAGGCTATTTGGATTTCGGAACAAGAACAATGATAAGAAGAACTGACTACCTCGACAAATGAGAGGGAGATGTGAACAGACGTACACACAATCTTAGTGATAATTCGACCTGTATTTCATCTTCCACATTTTGTTTTGAGAATTGTAATGATCAATGCTGAAGCAGGTTGTGAGCCAATCAGGTAAGCTTTCTTCAGAACGTTTATTCCGTTACACTATAAATAGTGGAGAAATTCTTCGTCTTGTTCGTGAAAATACTTTGGTCGCAATGAGTCGCAAACAAATAGTTAATCTTGCAGCTCTACTGGCAGTCCAAATGATCGTGGCCGCACAGGTCGGTAAGTGATCCTATTAGTCAAAATTGCAAATAATTGTGTGCTTATTTAGTAAATTGTGCATGACAGTGGTAGAGAGACAAATTGATTCTCGCCACAGAAGTGTTTTTAGAACGAGACTGAATGTAAGCACGTTTATAAGTTAAAAAATATATGAATAATTTTGTCGTCCTAACACAACTCTGGTGGAAATGCAGCTTTAAGATTCCTTTTTCGCATTAGGATTTTGTTAAATTACTTAGGAATTAAAGTGATTGAACTAGCAAAGCGGACATGCCCTGCTGCTCTTTGGTACGAGCTAAAATGCAGTGTGATTGTTTATTCACTTGTTTGAGCAGAGCAGAATCTTTGACCATGTTCTGAGAATGATCCAGTTCACTGCAGGATAGTTGCAGCTTTGAAGCACATTTCCACCTAAGGCCAATGTAGCCTAATTGTATGGGCAACTCTAGCAATTTCGGCCTGAATAAATTGATCAAATCAATTTTAGTGTTTTTGGTTGTAATAGGATGACAGTTGTGCGCACGAGTGCTTTGTATCACTTAAAAGTTAGACTCCTCAAACATGTGATGTAAGGTGTGACCAGGAACTTATATTTTCGAAGAATATTGAGCTTCGTCAAGTTTTCCAAAATCACCTGGTACACCGGGAACATGTTCTTTAAGTAGATTTGAAAACGGAACGGTGTTTTACCAAAGCAGTGGTCAACCGGAGTGAGTAGCCAAGAAATGTCTTTTGCTGTTGATTCGATGGACAATATTCTACGCTGTGGTACACAATTAAAAGCCGTTACTTTTACACTTAACTTGTCCCCACTTGTAGGGTGAGGGTAGCAAGATTCTCCCCATTCTTAATTTAATATAATATAACATTTGTTCAACGTTTGGCGAGAAATACCTCGTTTTTCTCCATGGATTTATGCAGCAAACTCATGACCTTCTGAGGTACTCACTGTTGTTAATAATTAACAGTTCGATTTAATATCAAAATATCGATTACTCTGGAAATGGGTTCAGTAAGTAGCTGGACTCGATGGAGTGCGACATCGTATTATGTGGGGTGTTCTAAAATTGGTCGAGTTTCACCTTGTTTTCCCACCGTGTAAACGAGTAGCTGTTTACGATGCGAAAAGGAAACAAACATTCCTATTAATACAATGCACTGGCTTGTTCAGGTGCAATTCATAATTGCATTTTTGAAAGTAAACCGAATTCATTTCATTATGTTGTGATAGAAGCCGGTTAGTTTGCCAGACGACTTAGAAGTAGCGGAGCACCTAATACTTTCAGTGGAAGACGGTACTCTAACAACTAATTGGTAAGTTACGTGAGAGACAGGAAAATCTTCAAATGAGTTTTCCAACATAACGTTACTTAGTAGTCACTAAACATGTCTGTTTCACCTTGTTTTGTCAACCATTTTATCACATGATTTTTGATTCGGTGGATGAACTAGGTTGTTATCTTAATTTGAGGCTGCCATCTATGTTTGCGTTTAGCTGACATCACTCTAAGTAAGTTCTGTTTGGTGAATCTCCACAGGCAAGTTCAGTTTTGTATACGTGAAAATTCATCACGTGCCGTTTATCTAAATTAATCTTTTGTGCCCACTATCTAAAAATTTCTGAGAGGTTTACACAGAAGAGGCCGTCTGCATTTGAGTGACCACCGTAACCAATTGAAATTTCATCAAAGAGCCTATTCGTTTTTAGGATTTCAAAGAAAATATCACAACTTCAGAAATTTTTGGAGATAATCTTTTGATTCAGCTATTCACATTTATTATCCCGTCCAGCCCATCTAGAATGACCCATGTGGGTACCTAAGATGTCATTACTCACGTTTCCTGGCTTTTTGTCGATATCAGCTGAGTACATGTCGGTAAATGTTTTGGGACATCAATGTTTAATTGACAATTAAGATATGTGTTGTATATTCATTTTTCTCTGGCTACCTTTTCAGCGGACGGTTAGTATTATTACGCTATTTGTCCCTTACATATCTGTGGCATGGCACACAGGAAATCATTTGAAAAACACTTGATTCATACAACGACGGGGAGAATTAGACTTCTATGTGGGTCTTTGAAGCTTTAGCTGATAAGATTGCCCTGTAAATACCCGGACGTTTAAAACATCAGAGCTGCTTGCCGGCTACAACATGGAAGACCATATACAACTTATTTTCTATAAACTTCGGATTGGGTCGCGGAGGAAGGAATTAGGTGCGCGTTACACGGTTACACGCGGACACACGTTAGTATAAATACAGACACTGATGTGGCATCACTATACCTGATATAACAGCGCACCAGAAAGCTCAAGGGTTTTTGGATTTCGGATTTCCAAGCTGATCATGTGGAGCATTGTCTTGAGGTAATTCCATCAATGCGCAGTAAATTTAGTAGTTTGCCATGTGAAACTGTGCTTCATTTATGGAACAAGTGCATTAAAGGCATCAGGAAATTAAGCAATCATGAAGCAACCTTAATCATGAGTCTTCAACTCCAAAGAGCTCATTTTGGGGCAAGAAGTTTGCATTTTGAAGCCAAAACCAACTAGAGTAATACGGAATTGAAACCCATAGCGACCGTCTGGGTAGCTGTAATTAAATGCGAAGAAACGTTCCGAATAATAGATTCATTGCTTTCAAGTCTCTTGCTTGAAGGAGACCAACATAAATATTGATAACAGCCATGGCATATCTGTTTTGCGTTCAAAAACGACTTGACTTATAGGTAACAGGAAACCGCAGATACACAGGATTTTCTCAGGAAATGTTTCCCATTTATCGCTTTATCAGCTAATTTGCGGTCTAACAAGAGCCAAGAGATTGAGA